TCATAGTCGATCCCGTTAAATCCATTAAAATGCATTGATGCTTGTGTGCACAGATATTAAATTCATATTGTCTTTTATTTTTAATAAGATCCTGACTGTAACATGTCCCACATGACGCATAACACCTGACAGAAGCTCTTCTTTACAGGATTTTCTGTCACTCAAATCCGTCTCTTGTTCTGTTGCATGGCGTTTAACACACTCTCATATCTGGTAACCAGAGTGTGTTACATCTGTGGTTTGCAAGGGTGGTATGTAATGTTGCAGCTGACTGAATCTTAATTTCCCAAGAAAGGGCTAAAAAGATAGAGCTCCTCAGAACGGAGCCAGCACAGCGGTGTCCTCGAAGCAAACGTCTTAATTCATCTTCATTACACACTCTGAGAGCTGCGTTGGGCCGTGCTGCTTTCCACTTCGCTGCCGCTCTCTGCTTTGCAACAATTTCTGTTTTGATGTGGAAGAGAGCACAGATTTTTTGACTCTATCCTCTGAACTGTGCGTTCAAATGTTTCAAGGTTTCGAATGGTAACAAAAGCAACGCCGGTGTAATGGGAGTTTAATTTCATTCGTGGTTCTGTTTTTTTGTTTGTTTTTTTGTGCAGTTATGCACACTTATGTCTTTGTTGCGAAATGAAAGCTTTATATCAATTTAAGTTACAGAAAGCACAAACATACAGATGGAAGGCTCTGCTGATGCTGGATTGATGAGGCTTCATTTTGTTGTTGTTTATACCGTTTCTGTCTGTGAGTGATAACCTTCATGTGTTTCCTTAGTCGAGATCTCGCATCAGTCTGCTCTTATTTCCACTTCAGGAAACACATAAAAGTATACAGGTACAGATGGTGAGATACCTGGCAAATTAAGCAATTTGTATTTATTGCTCTGCAGATGCTAACTAGATGGAGGTAGTAAATTATAATTTGGTTGGCAGACTGATTCTTTTCATTACTGGAAGCACCAACATCTGCAGGGCGGCGTGTTATTGCATACAAGTGGCGGCACAAAGTCGCACAGAGGGATGGAAGATTTAGAGCCTATTTTAAAAAAGTGTTCGGGGGTGAAAACAGCATGAATTGGAGCACAAGTTAATTGAACAAAGATATGAAACTGTTCAGACCGATGACAAGCTGACAGATAACTAAAGGAAACTGTCTCATTCTGAAAAGTGTTTAGCGCTGTGGCATTTCAAAGGTTTAGACAAGTTAATTTTAGAGGGTACCACAAGGGTGTGTTGTCAGTTTTAGTGAGGAGGAAATGGAATCATTTTCCATTTTGTGATAAATTATATAAGCATTTAATTGAAAGTTGACGTTATTTTCGGAAACGGCTTTCTAAGAAGCAAATTATTGATGCAAGCTTTATTATCAACGTGGGAGAACGCTTTTGACTGTCAAAGTGAAGCCTGAGAATGCAGAAACGCACAGACAAGAAGGACTAGAAGGAGGCACATCTGAAGGAAAACAGCATAGACTGAAACTGGTGAAGAAAAAGAAAATTGTTGAGGACGTTGAATGTGTTGAGGTGATAACTGGGACGATTGTTATGGGCAACAGAAAACCACAGCAACCAAAAGCGAATGAAAAGCCTAAATAAAGCAGGAGGTATATTTAATTTAATTAATTCATCCATACATTATCTTCCACCTAATCCAGGGTTGTGTTTTGCGGGTGAAGCTGAGAACAAAATGACTCAATTTTGGTGGACTGATGTCGTCAGTTTGGCTCGACCCTTTAGGCTCCTTCACTTGGGGCAGGACTTTCTCCCCGACCCAGAGAGGGCAGCCTACACGTTTGCAAATCAAGACCAAAATCAGATTTTGAGATGCTTATCATCATTTAAAAGCTGTAAGTCTCGATCTGATGAAGCCAACAGAACCAAACATTAATATCTAAGAGTAAAAAAAATCTTCTTTCACATTTCATCTGTTTTTCCTTCATCACATTTAAATGCTTCAGATAATCAAAGCATTAAAAATAAAATGAAAAAAGGTAAAAAAAAAAAAAAAAACGTCAAGTGGTAATGGTTGACATGTCAGCCTAGAACCAGAAGATAAACTAAGCTCTAAGAAACTGGGTGACTTTACCAAATGATAATACAGTATGCCCTTTATTCATTTCCAATGTAAAGTCCAAACCATAACTTTTTTACACGTTGAGGATAGAAAGTTCTTTTTTTGAGAGCGATTCCCCATACCGACCGTTTTCGAATCCTACTGATCTGTTTCAGTTGCACCAACAGGAAGTTTTGCAGTCAAATTTTAGCAGTGATGGACGATTCTCCTTTGGCAGAAGTTGATTTGCTCTGTTGGCATTTTCTGGGTACTTCGTACTGAAAGGAGACTCAGAGCAGACCCAGAAATCAATACATTTTGATCTGGTAACGTTTCGGGATCCCCAGGATATTCTTGGAAAGTGGTTCCCCGGCGTAAGGAATCTCTGAATTTTTACTCCTGCAAAGTCATCTCAGGTATGCAGAAGACAACGTATGAATAGATTGATGGATGTCGTGTTCGTGGTGCAGGTAAATCAATAAGAGCTGACCAGAGTGATGACAGAACATCATCTGAGTGGAAGATTGATGAGTCCTGGTCTGTTGGGATTACAAAGCAGGTCACTATGGCAACGAGAGGTGGGGGCTCAATAAAACGTTAAATCTCTGTAAAAAACTAAGAAAATGAATATGAAGTGTGAATATGCAGAAAGTAAGTGAGGGGTTCATGGTTGCATGTCTCCGCCTTTCCAAAACAAAATCTGATTTACAATGACGTGTACATCTAAAACAAATTAATACTGGGTAAAAGTGCAATAGTTCTTGCCAGTCATGCCAGAAAGCAAACTGGTAATTTTAAAAAATTACATTACAAGTAAAGTGAAATACTTAGGGCTTGTTTTTTTTTTTCATTTTTTATGGCTAACAAGTAAAGAAAAGTCCAGAATATCACATTAAATATTGTAATTTTGACATTCTCAGCAACAGATGTTTTGTCTGGAATGGATTTCACTCCACAGCCCTCTGTAGGCTGTTCTTATCACCTCTTCCTCGCACACTTCTTCCTTCCACTCAATTTCCCGTTGATATGCTTGGAAATATACAACTCTGTGAACAACCAGCTTCTTCAGCAATGACCTTACCTTACCCTCCTTGTGAAGGGTGTCCTGTGTGGCCTACTGACCACACAGGACAGTGTGGTCAGTAGGCCACACTGTCCTGTGTGTGGCCTACTCACAGGACCACACAGGACCTGTGTGGACCACACAGGTCTAAAGGCTCAGGAAACCGTTGCAGGTGTTTGGCGTTAATTAGCTGATTAGTGTTTGACACCATGAGTTTCCATTAGTGACCTCTGCTACAGTATTCTAATGTTCTGAGACACTGAAATGTTAGGTTTTATTACCTGTAAGAAATAGTCACAAAATTACAAGAAACAAAGGCTTGGTATATATCAGTCTGTGTGACGATGATTCTAGATAATATACGAGTTTCACTTTCTTTCAAACCGTTTACAGTTTGTTGTCTCACTTTCTGAGATGACTGCCAAGAAACATTTCCCTTTTAGACAATAATCAAATGTCCAATACATACATAGAAGCGGGACGGTGTGTGATCCGTATGTAGTGCTGCATGTACACACTGCCTGTGTTTCTAATTAATTGGTACATTTCCTAAGGTCAAGTGCTGTAAACATGTATTTTTGCCGTTTAATAATCAAAGTCTGGTAACACTTTATTTGAAGGGGGTTGAATAAAACTGACATGACACTTTCATAAACATGACATAACACCTGTCATGAACATGAATAAGCCTTCATGAATATTTATGACTGTTGTCATAAAGCGTCATTCGGTAAATTATGACACTTTTAATACAAAGTTGACATTATTCAAAATGTCTTTGTTATGACAACTTGACATTAACTAAGAAATCATTACTGATATAAATTTGTTATAAAAGTATTACTGATTGCACTTTAAAAATTAGGTAACTATGTTATTAAAGGTAAAGTCTAAACAGTAATGATTTCTTGGTTAATGTCAAGTTGTCATAACAAAGACATTTTGAATAATGTCAACTTTGTATTAAAAGTGTCATAATTTACCGAATGATGCTTTGTGACAACAGTCATAAATATTCATGAAGGCTTATTGATGTTCATGACAGGTGTTATGACAGTCTTATTCACCCCCCTTCAAATAAAGTGTTACCCAAAGTCTTCAAATAAACCTCAGAGACTCTTCAAAGGTTAACATAGCAGCTCGTTTGCTTCTCAGCACAAAATAAACAAAACATATAATGATTATTTCTCGGCTCTCTTTTCTAAATTGTCCAGTTAAATAGATTTAAATGGTGTGTCTTAATCTATATTCAACTTTATTTGGGAAACACAGAAATTTCAGCTAAATGAGCTCTCAAGAACAAGCCGGGCGAATTGATTGGTTTATATCTATATGCAGCATTAAGAATCAATTCCTTTGTAATGAGATTGAATCAAACGTGTGACCGTGTGTAATGTGAATGGTTGCTCCGAGTAATTAACTCTCAGAGAATTACTACTCAGCCTTGCAGTTTCCTCAGAGTGCTTTGAGCTCATTGTTTAGGTGTCTGGCTAACAAATTTAAGTTCATTTCTGTTTATGGGTTTTCTCGTTACTGAATTAGGAGGGTGTTTCTGTCTGGAATGAAACAGCAAATCCATGTTAAATTAGAAGGTATGCGGCGAGATCAAACATCAGAAATCGGGGGAAATCTTTTTAATAATAAATGTACGCAGTGCATGTTCAAAAAGTATGAATGCAGCGTTGTTAAAAAATAAAGATGTTCACATATTTTCTTTGTAAAATCATTTGTATTCAGGATGGGGGGGGAAAAATCTTCCAATCATCCTGCATGAATGCTTCCCTGATATATGCACCTTTGAACAATGCAACTTTGAAGAGGAAGAGAAGCGGTGGCATTACTGACCCATAATGAGGCATAAATAAAGCCAGTCTGAGTGGGCAGCCTGATTTGCACCTAGTCAACTTTTATATGAATGCAGAAGTCTTGTGCTGCTGGTCATTTTGCTCTTGGATAAGATGGGGTGAGTTCTGACCTCTGCTCCTCAGCTTCTTCCTGCCATCCAATCACAGTGAACTGAAACAGTAGGAAAAATTTATTTTTCAGGTCTACAGGCAATATATATACTTATTTTGGTGTCTAAAAGCATTAAAACAACAACAACAAAAAAAATTACTCACGCTATAGTGCCTTGCAAATGTATTTTCATGCCCTTAGGAACATACTTTAGTGTATTTTTGAGAGATTTTAAAGGATAAATGTCATAATTGTAAACAAAACAAGGTTTTATGATTTTCTAAATTGAAATATGAAAAGAGCCATGCATTTCAATTCAGAATTGTTTACTTTAAAAACATCACAAAAGCAAACTAACATCAGAAGTCGCCTTATAAGGCTGACGTGTTTGAGATTTCATCTCACTTTAAATAACCCTGTTCTGTGAAGCTCCAAGAGGAACATTAGTGAACAAAACCACAAATATAAAGTTGTGTCAAATTATAATGTAAGGCTAGATGTGAAACAAAATCCCAAACTATAAACGTCTCACAGAGAACTTTGTACATCAACCTAAACTGGAAGTGAAAGCCCAGAGGCTGATTGTAATTCTGGGAGAGCAGCAGAGATCAGATTAGGCAGGAAACTGAGCTGTTGGCACGTTATGGCAGCCTCCGGAACAGTCTTTCTTCAGAGGCCACTTCAGATTCACTGCAAGACTGACTGCTACTGGAGATCCTTCCTAAACACTTTGTAACTATTCACAAATTAAACTGAATGAAACAATGTGGTGGCAGCATTGTGCTGTGGGACTGCTATGCGACAAGAAGAGCAATGCAGATGGTCAGAGTTGATAGGAAGGGTTATGAAGCTAAATCTGAGACATTTCTGCCTGAAAACGTAGCTAAAAGCTGGAAGAAAAACCAAAGATTTGGGAGGAGATTCCATTACAAATCTATCATAAATAGGTTTGCTATTAAATATGTCAAAATGATTCAATGCATGTCACTACTTTTGCACAAGGCCTTGACATTTCATTCTGACAATCCATGTTTATTATCTCCCAGCTTAACCTCCATTTTGCTCCACATAGTTCAGATTGATGTCATCTGTATTCGTGTCAGAAGTTGAGTATTTCTCTGTCAGCAGGAAATGAGCGACTAATCCTCTGTCAGGATTCTCAAAAGCCTAGCTGGGGTATTGTTCTCCTTTTTGTCTGGCCAGAGGGTGGAAGCTCTGATTTTCTATTTGACAGTGAATGAATCATTCACAGAAACTGTGATCCTCAAATTAAACCTTGTTTGATTTGAAGCCATTTAACAAAGATTCCCTATGTTGCGCTCTAAGCACCAACAGACGTTCGTATGTGATGGAGGGAAGAACTGAGTGACTGTAGGTGGTGTAATGACTGGACAGCTGGTTGCCACAGTAATACCTGTAATTCAGTGTTTAATGAGCTACATTGACAGATCACAACCAACTGCACGACCACATTTTATTGAAAGCAGGTGTGTTTAAAATTTTCTGGTCCACTTGGCATTCACATTTGCACTCGAATCACATCCGAGTTCACTTCAACCCAACTGAGACTTTTAGGGGAACCACAAAGGAACCAGGACTTTCAGCACAAATGAACTAAAGTTTGTTTAAAGCAAACTAAACAGGCCTGGTGTGAAAGAACCCCAAACCATTAATGAGTGAGTTTGATGTGGACGAACTGTAGTGGCCTGACATCCTTGGGATGATATAGATACTGTGTGTGAAGCCTACTTCTCCAACATCGGTGTCTTCAAATAGCAAGGGACTCCAACAGACACCCTCAAAAGTTTTGTAGACTGCATTCCTAGATGAATGGAAGCTGTTTCAGATACAAAGAATGGTGCAAGAAAATATTAAAGCCTTTGGAATAAAAACTGAAAACTCATTAAAGTTCCTGTGTGTGTAAAGCCAATACTATTGGAAATATAGTGTTTACAATTAATCTTAGCCATCTAAGCTACAGCTTGCTTTTTCATCAGTGTAATATCATCACTTTCAACTGACAGTTGGTCAATAATGTTTTGCTTCAGGTTTTTTGCAGCCGTAGAGACCAGAAGCTCAGTGGGGCTTTTATTTCAAACAAAACCTGGACTTCAACTTCTGTTGCTGTATTTTGTTCAGAACTCTGTTACCAGGGACCATGTGGGCTCCTAAGTACAAGCAAATCTGAATCTATAAATTTTACATTGTGATTTAACTAAACCAAATTGCCATTTTCACATCTCAGCAGCTTTAAGCAGTGGAGCTGCCCTCACTTGACTGAAAGTGCAGCTGTCAGCTCAGCTGGGATTCAGTCCTAATCTGTTAACCCTGAAAGCAGAATCTGAGTACGCTGCTGAAAGGACAACAGTTTGAATCCAAGTGGAATGCTAGAGTATACAGACTTTTGTTATTTTACGCCTTATAGCTCATATTGTTAGGATACAATAAAATTACTAAGTAAAAAAAACAAACTTCTACGAACGGCATTTCCTGTAGAAAAGATTAAAGGGGAAATTTTAAAGGGGCTGGTAACTGGGTTGATATGACGCTGATAAACTTGCAAATCATGTAGCAAAAATCTGGGAAGGTTCTCTGACAGGAGTGAGAAGCCAGTGTGCTAATGGGAAAGGTGCTACATGCTATAAGTTACAGAAGCCAATTAAAATACATTTATTTCTACTTTCTGGTTTCAGTCGTTTGCTAACAGATTCCACAAAGTAATATCTCTGCTATCTGCAATGGTGACCAAACTCTCGTAGCAATTTTGGGAGTTGTTAGTGCTCCTGATTGAACTAATAAGTATGAGAAAAAGAGCTCTTCACTTTGGTAAGGTGACAGTAAAAAAATAATGTCTACGTATGTGGAAACAGGATTCTGTCCCAACATTTGCTTTGTGGATGGAAGAAAGGTTTAACATAACTGCTTCTTAAGAAACAGAGACTGCATAATGACAGAAGAGCTCAGTTTATCAGACATGACTTTACTCTGAAACAAGAGAGCTTCAGCAACCTTATGAAACTCACTACAGCAGTTTGAACCTTTCAAATCCTTCTGTCTCTGTTTTTATTAATGGAGGTTTATAGCGCATGCATATGCACTTTGCTTAGTTTGTGAAGTGTTCGGATGTGTGTTCTTATGTTTTTATGACACTCTTAAAAACTAATAACCATATTTAATTTAAAGGCTGAAGCTGTGGGGAAAGCAGAGGAGATCTGGAAGGGAAACTTGAGAGAAAAGCAAAAATGAAGAAATAACATTAAGAAACACAAGAGTGACCAATAATTCACGAAGTAAGCAGATGACAGTGCACAAGAGAATATATCAAAGTAGAAGATTAATTAAGTATTAAAACTTTAAACCAAGGCTTCCAAACTCCACTTCACAGGGCTTCAACTTTTAGATCAGTTTCATCACAACTGCATCAAATAATTCGGTCATTAGCTGGTCTCTAGACCGTAACTGCATGCTAAGGAGATAATTAGGTCATTTAATACGTTCATCGGGTCATCCCGTTTCTTTCCCTTTCATGTTTTTGAAAAGATTTTAAATCACAAAACAGTTTGAAGAAAAACTGTTGTGGTTTTCAAAACAAATTTTTAAAAATGTCAAAAAAGTGTTTCACCAGTAACTGACCAGCCAAAAAACTAATCAGCCAAAAAAAAAAAAAAAAAACACTAATAAAGTTCTCAGTGCAGGATGAGCAAATCTAAAGCAAATCCTCACTTCTCTCTGCTCACCCACGTTTCAAACCTTTCTCAGGTGCCTGAGCAACCACTACATTCATCTTGTGTTGGTGGTTAGGGGTATTTTTGGGGCTAATAACAGCAGAATGTCTGCGTCTCAACCAGTGGAGTCAGCACGCTCCTATCTGCACCGCTAAAATAACACACTCCGACTCCATTCAGCTGTGATTGCAAATAACAATCATAATTACCATGGCATAATCATATCCCTTAGCAATGACTGTCACCAGAGAAATACAATTTCTCTAATGTCACAACAAATCAGCTGGTTTCAAGAAAGGGGGCCAGCAGAAAGCAGGCGGGTTTGGACTTCATAATTGGGAAGATTCTCTGTTGTGCGTCGTGTAATTTTCAGTCCTGAAACAGCCCAGCCGGAATCCCTCTACTTGGTTCCGTAATTTATAACTAAATATTTGGAAGACATTTACCTATTGTTATCTTTAATCCCTCCCAAAAAAAAATCAGGCGAAAAGAATTCAGTCATTCTTCCAGCTCCGTAGTTTATTGTTTCACCCCCCCCCCACCCCAAACAAACACGATTCAGGATTCCTCTAAAGAAAGAAGGGCTGCTGGGTGCTGCCAGTCACCCTGCTCCCTTTTTCTGAGAGGATTCCTCCTCATCTCCCAGGTGGCGTCCCATTTGTCCTGGAGTAATTCATTACCTGTTCATTCAGTAGTGACAACCCGTCAATTCCATCTGGCTGTGCGGTCTCCTGGGGGCCCACTAGTCCTCATATAATAAGGACAGCCACCAGGAAACATATTTGCTCACCCATTACCTCAATAACTATGTAATGATTGATTCCTTGTTGGATCATCCATGTTTCACAGCACAGCCAAGAGACGATTAAATGAGAGAGGCAGTGCTCACTCCAGTTATTCCCAATGACAGATATAAGAGCCAAGCGTATGACCAAGAATTTGTGACCCGGACAGGTAATGTTTCACCAGGCGAAGTGTTTGTGAAGGTCTTCCTTTGTTAAATGAAGATTAATACAAACAGATTTATTTTAAAATGAAAAATCTAGAAAAAATCTCCACTTTTTACCTTAATTATCCCCAACTAAAAACTACTTTCCTGGTGGCTAAATGCAGTGGCTTTTAAGAATATGTACACTTGTTCCACTTGTTTCTTAAAGTTGCAACAATAAACTTGAAATGAATTTGACTGTTTCTGAGCTACACAAAACACAAAGATGATAAAGTAAAGATAAAAAACAAATGATCTTTTACATTAAGCCCTGTTTGTTCAATACTCTACAGTGTCTTTTGCCATGTCACTATCAGCTTTCCACATTTAGAAGCTGCATATTTCTG